GATCCATCTGCCTTCCCAGTGCTGGGATTAATGGCATGTGCTACCACTGCCCAGCAACGTATTCCTCATTTTTGTAATATTTTTTCATGAAGTGATGCTGAGTTTTTCCAGTACTTTTTCTTCTGTACCTATTGAGATAATCAGTGTTTACCCTTCATTCTGTTGATGTGATCTATTTCAAATTTTGTCTCATGTACTAAGTCATCCTTATACCACGAGGCAACACCTTATTTCCTTATAATCTTATGCATTCTATAGGTTCAGGGAAAATCCTCTAGTGATTAGAGATAGTCCCTAAACAGTCTTTCTTTTTGTATTTTGTTTATTTGTGTGTGCACATGCACCAATGCTGAATGCCGTGGTTTGAATTTGAGGATCAGAGGGCAAGTAGGGTTGGGGGAGTGGGTTCTCAGGATCAAGTTCAGGTCATCAGGTTTGGTGGCAAGTGCTTTTTCCTGTTGAGCTGTCTTGCCAGACCCTGAAGGTATAGTCTTAATGTGAAGATTTTCAAATAATTACTGAAAACATTTTTAGGGGGGTTGGGGATTTAGCTCAGTGGTAGAGCGCTTGCCTAGCAAGTGCAAGGCCCTGGGATCGGTCCTCAGCTCTGAAAAAAAAAAAAGACAAAACAAAAAACAGAAACATTTTTAGGGAAAAGTTTATTTTAGTTAATGGCTTCTGTATTGCTGTGATAAAACACCATGACAAACTTGGAGAGGAAAGGGTTTCAGTTTACAATTCTCAGGCCATACTCAGTCACTGAGGGAAGTCAGGGCAGAACTCAAAGCAGAAACTGAATTGTTCCTTTGTTTTGAGACAGGATTTCTCTGTGCAGATCTGATTGTCCTGGAACTTGATCTGTGGACCAGGCGGGCCTTGAACTCAGAGATCCTGCTTGTCTCTGGACCACTGGGATGAAATGCTTGGCAACAACCACCGCCCAGCTCAGCTTGTTTTCTTATACTATCCAGCCCCTCCCACCATTGGTGGTACTGTTCCAGTGAGCTGGACCCTCCTATGTCAACCATCAAGAAAATGCTCCATAGACTTACATTCAGGCCAATCCTAAGGGGACATTTTCTCAGGTAAGATTCCCTCTAGAGGGGCTGTAGAGATGGCTCAGTGGTTAAGCGCACTGGCTGTTCTTGCAGAGGACCCAGGTTCAATTCCCAGCACCCACAGGGCAGCTCACAACTGTCTGTAACTCCAGCCCCAGGAGATCTGACACCCTCACACCAATGTACATGAAAAAAAAAAAAGATTCCCTCTAGAACCAGCATGCTTATAAAATCCCAATACTTAAAAACTGGAGTTAGGTTTGAGACCAACTTGGGTTGCACAATGAGACTGTCTTTAAAAAAAAAGATTGGGGATTGGGGATTTAGTTCAGTGGCCCTGGGTTCCGTCCTCAGCTCAAAAAAAAAAAAAAAAAAACCAAAACAAAACCCCAGGTAAGGGCTCTAATCCCCACTGGGCAATTGGAGAAAAAAATGTCATGAAAACAGCCAGAAGCTGATATACTGCAAGCAGCAAGCTCTTAAGGCCTTAGTCAGTTCAGAGGACACTTGACTGGAAACCAAATGCTGTGCAGATTATGTTTCTGGCAATAGAACTAATTTTAGAAAGCACCAAATGGTAATTTGTACTTGCTGTATTTTAAGATTACCTGGAAGCCTGACACAAGGCAGGGCAGCTGAATTCCAGCTGGCTAGTTACTGAGGCCAGGTATGTCAATTCTGCTCTCAGCCTGCAAAACCAGTCTGAGACAAGCAAACACACTTCATGCTATTGTAGTGAGGTCCCGTTCAAGTTTTTGTTCTCTTTTAGACTTGAGTCTCTAGTGAGCTCTCGGGTAGTTCCTTAACAACCCTAGGCCCCTGATAATGACTAGTTTTAGCCTTTTACTAACAAAAAGAATTACTCAGTCAACATCCATAAAGTAGAAGGCTAGTCTTTCATGCTTAGTGAAAAAAAATGCCATCCAATGTGTATCAAAAGGTTTGAGTTAGTAAGTTTGATGAAAAGTAATTTTAACTATAAAATGTAGAGCTTTCAAATTTAGTTCCACTAAAATGATGCCTTTTCGGACTTGTTTCTTGTTCAGGTATAAATTCTTTAGTCACTGATCTAGTCCATTCCTTTCATCCAACTCATGCCAACATCCCCACCAATTTATCACAAGCAGGTTCTAAACCATACTTTATGCATGCATGGTGTTCCTTAGGCCTAATTGTATTTTACCTATTCTTGAATTAGTTTTGACTCAGTTTGATCCTGTGATAGAAAAAAAATTCTCCTGCTGTGCATGGTGGCACATGCCTGTAATTCCTACACTTGAGAAGCAGGATTGCCATAAATTCAAGGCCAGCTTGGTTTGAGTGAGTTCCAAGCTAGCCAGGTCTACATAGTGAGGCCCTCTTCCAAACTGATCAATCAATATTTCTTTTCTATTCTATAAGATTGCCTTTTTTTTTTTAAGACAGGGTTTTTCTGTGTACCCTTGGCTGTTCTGGAACTCCCTCTGTAGACAAGTCTGGCCTAGAACTCAAGAGATCCGACCGCTTCGGCCTCTGTTGGGATTAAAAGCCATGTGGAACCACCACCTTTCCTCCTGGATTGCTTTTGATTTTTCTTGGCATCTTGTACCACTGTTGACAAAGGGAATGGAGAAATTGTTTATCTTTGAGCTCCTTGGCAGACTAATACTCTGTAATACATAAAGAGCATGCACAGTAATTCAGATCAGCTGAATATGCTATATTAAAAGACCCATTAGAAGACAAGGAAATAACCAGAAGGAACTGCAGAACGAGGTCAGAGGGCTTCAAAACAAACCATTTCACAACCTTGCCTTGCTCTTAACTGTTGGCCAGCTTGGCTAAAGTGCAATGTGCCTTAAATTTCTTAAGTCCCTATCCCCTGACATGGTTTTTCTGGACAGCCCTGGCTGTCCTGGAGCTCTGTAGACAGGCTGGCTTTGGAACTCAAAGAGATCCACCTGCCTCTGCTGTGATTAAAGGCATGTGCCACACCAGTTTTATATATATATATATATATATATATATATAATTTACTGTACAATACTATTAAGTATCTGACCCGGTTATGGACCTGAGATCTTATCGATTAATGAAACATTAAATTATTTTAGGACCTCAAAAGATGACAGCTTTTAAAGCCTATTAGATAAAGATTCAAGCAGAGAAAGAAAAAAACTAGGGAACAAGAATTCAAATATTATTCACCCCACTTCACATACAATGTTATTCACCACTCATCATTTGTAAAGTGCAACCTCGAGGGTCTCACTGTTGTCTGAGTTAGCACCAAACTGGGTTCAAGTGATCTTCCTGCCTTAGACACCTGAGATGCATCTCCATTTTGTACTTTATGTGGAAATTCAGTAACTTACTCTTGAATAGCCAATGAAGGATGAAATCAATAGGGAAATTAAAAATATCTCAAATTAAAAAAAAATGGAGACACAACATGTAACCTGTATGATACAGCAAAAGCAGTGCTAGACAGGGAAATTTACAGCAATCAACATGCCTTTAGTCCCAGCACTCAGGAGGCAGAGGCAGGGGGATCCAAGTTAGAGGGCAGCCTGGTTCTACATACAGTTCCACAGCCAGGACTACATAGAAACCATCTCAAAACAAATCCAAGGCAAAAAAGCCAATAGAGTATCAAATGAAAAACTTTTTAAAAGTACTAAAGAAAAACAAGCCAGTTAGTGGAAGATATAAATATCAGCAGAAATAAAAACATTTAAAAAAAAAATAGGGGTTAGGGATTTAGCTCAGTGGCAGAGTGCTTGCCTATCAAGCACAAGGCCCTGGGTTTGGTCTTCAGCTCCCGGGGGTGGGTGGGGGAAGACAACAAAAGAAAGTGAGTCATATAATACACCAACATTGGACATTGAGGAAACCTTAGGATGTCTTTGGACAACATAAGATCCCCCCTTTCACCAGTTTAATTCAGTACTGCATGTCTTACAGCAACCAGGTAAGAGGGAACCTAAATTAATAAAGTTGCCATTGTCAGCAGCTCTTATGATACCAAAAGGCTACTCCAAAGTTGCTATTCAGTGAGTTCTGTAGAGGTCTATAGGATGAAAATTTACCTATTAACATTGCTGTATTTTAGTAGAAATAAGAAAATGCATGTAACCAGAAGCATCCCTGATTGTCAGAGCTAAAGTATCAAAGCTGGGAACTGACTCAAAAACATGCTTCAACTACATCCAAACAGCATGGTGCTGGCTTGAGGCACACAGGCCAATGGGACAGAAGACCTCATAAAGAAATGAGTACCCACAGCCATTTCATTTTCCAACAAAGGCAGCAAGAAATTTGAAGTCCAATGGTTACCAGGAAACTTGGGTGTCTATAGGGGAGGGGAAAGAATAGATTCTGCTCATTAGTAAAAAAATTCTAGGACACTGGGCTGGGGAAAAAGCTATCTTGGATTAAACCCTTCAAAGCAGGAGCCAATCAAATGTTATTCTATCCAACTAAAAATCGAGATCACACTAGAACATTTACCTAAAACTAGGCACAATGACACTACTTTGCAAAGGCAACTTTGGGAGACTATTTTAAAATCTGAGGTAGAGGCAGCTGGATCTGAGCTGAGGCCAGCTGTCTATATTACGAACACCAGGACAGTGGTAGAGACCCTGTCTCAAAAAACCCACAAGTTCAACCCTTGGCACTTACTACATAAGGAAAACTGGAGTTAGTTAAGTTAGAAAGGCAAGGTGGGCACTACAGGCCACCCTTAACCTCAGCACTTGAGAGGCAGGTGGATGTGCTCAAGCCCAGCCTGGTCTGTAGGGAAACCATTTCCAAAGACCAAAAAAAGAGGACAAAACACTATCAATGTGTGGTGTAACTTGTTAATGTCAGAGGGAAACCTGATAAGGTGCACCTGTGAGGACAGCCCACCAACCTTAAGACTCAATTACCATGCAAATAGAAACACAAAGGGCAGTCAGGTTATCTGTTGGTGCAACCAAACCGTTTATTGCAGCATTCACAGTAAGCCCTGCTGGATAAGGAAATGTAGCTTGTAACAAATTTTATAGTCACAAAATTGCTGAATTCTGTGCACTAGACAGATTGTCATAATCCTACTAGATTCTCATGAATCACTGCAAACTTCCACACAGCTTTAATTCCATCCACATCTTAAATCCATAAAATTAAACTTATTACAAGGAATTCAACAACCCTTTTTAAGAAGCCGTGATCTCATGTTCTATCCATTAATAAAAATTAGTATCATAGTTGGCCTTATTGGTACAAAATTCCCAGCACTTGGGAGGCAAGATGGTTGAGTTCAAGGTCAGGGCTATGTAAAGACCTCATCTCAAAACCCTCTAGTCAATACTGTATATTTTCTTCTTTTGTCTGCCTTTTCTGGATGTTCACAACATCCAATTCTTATACGCCAGCAAAGCCTTGTGCCACTGTCCCTAGAAAAAGAAACACAGGGATTACAACACCACCAACACTAAAACTTAACACAACAGTGCCTTTGTAATGGTCTATCTCAGAAGCCAGATCCGTAATTTTAGTTTTTCAACAGGAGTTCAGGTTCGGGATAGGATCATCATAGACTAGACCAAAGACACTATGTTCAACAAAACGAAAACAAAAAAGCCACTCACACTCATTCTCCCAGTAGCTCTAGGAACTTTACAGGCAGCTGGCATCTCTATGCGTTGGCAGTCACTGCTGGGGAAAAAAAAGTACCATGACATACTAAGTACATTAATTACATAAAAAGTGCTATGCAGCTAGATTACTTCATTCTTACACATTATAGTCGTTCTCCAGGTAACCATCTTTGAGATATAATTCATGATTGATTAGACTAATGTCTTAATAGCATAGCCACTCAAAATTAGAAAGGCAAGCATAGGAGAAGGCATATGGCTTAAGTCACATGACTACAAAATGGAGTAGCTGGTCAGCATTGTTTCAGAATTAAAATTATGGAAGCTGTTGGCGCACGTTTTTATTTTACACTATGTTCTGTATGGGATAAAAATTAAAAATCTAGGCTCGATACACACCTTTTGAAATGAGAAAGAGTCAGGTCTTTAGCAAGTTACTTTCTGTTATGAATTCCCTCGGATGGTTTGGGCCTCTCTTTTCCATCTAATGAAAAGAAGCAAAATTTTAAGCACCACACCACTTCCTATTGCCAAGGCAACAGTCTGCCCCTTCAATTAAAAAACTAAGCTGCATCACCCTTACCTGGGCATCTCTTTGCAACTGCTTTGAAGACCCAGAAAATGACGGCGTCATTGTTCCTGTGAAAGGATTGTGTAATCAGCCGACTCTGGACGATACCAGTACCTTCCGAACAGCACATAACTCATAAAACCTTCCTCCACAAATCCCGATGTGTCCGAACCCACCCATGCTGGGGTTGAGGAACCAGACCCCAGCGGCCATTAAGCTAGGCCGCCCAGCTACACGCTCTGGGCCTACGCTTTAATCCTGCAGTCTCCCATTGCAAATGCGCATTTCCCCGAATAAGTTGGCAACAGCAAGCTAACCTCAAGCCTCCGAGGCTGTCCCACAAAACCGAAGCCTCCAATTTCTCCCTGCGCCATCCTATTCCGCTTGGTCATCCACCCACACAGCTCACTCACCTACAGAGGAAGACAAAGCCTTCGGTTCCCGACGTAAAAGAACGAGCCGCGCCGCCCGCGGCTCCCTTTATAGCCTCCGCGGCGTGAGACCGAGGCTGCCCCTCCCTCTCGCACCCGATTGGCCGCGACGCCGTGCGGGGGCGTGGCCTTTCCCTGAGGCCCCGCGTGGGAGCGCGCGCGCGCCGTGGCTCTTTTCTTCCGGGCCATGCTGGGGCGTGGTGCGCGCCGCCCGCGTGCCGCGTGCTCGTTCATTTCTGCGCGCATTCCCGCCGGCACGCTGCCACCCGTCTCTTCCGAGTCTGTCGGGCCGCTCAGCTCTACGTGGCGTGGGAGTGGCGCCAGAATTCAAACGAACAGCCGCAGTTGGAGGCGAGGTCACCGCCTGCTTCGAGCCAAGTCGGCTAGCACGGTCGGCGGCGGGGAGCGGCCTTGACTTGGCCGCGCAGGCGGCCTTTGCGCGCGGCCGCTGGAGGAGCCTGGCCGGTCCGGTGGCCGCTGCTGCGCTTGGTACCCAGCGGCGACGCCGAACGGACCCTTGGCGTACAGATCTACGCGGGTGAAAACCGGAAAGCCCTGCGTTTATCCTTCGTGCCCCCTGCCGGTACCGCAGGTCTGCAGAAGGCCACGCTGTCGCGTGCACGCCACCCAAAAGCCTGCTTAGGCACTTAGCCCGGTCCGGCCTCCCCCACCCCCACCCCTACCCCCACCCCCGTTACCAGCCACTAGTGACAGTTATTCTGTGGCAATCCTGAGAAGTTAAGCACTCCATTTCACAGAGGAGGAAACTGGTCAAAAGCCGTCAGTTGGCCTAAGGTCACACAGCTATCCTTTGCTATTTTTAAGTGTCTTCCTACTAAATTATAAATTTAAAAAGGAAAGAGAATAATTCAAACGTCAAACTTTAAGATTCCAAAATAATGCTTCAGTAATTGGCATGTATGAGTGAATTATGGGTGCACATGCTACATTTGAAGTTTTCAGCATTTGGAAACTCGGGTCTTTGTAGCATTTTTCACTAATTAAAATCATGTGTGCATTTGTCATTAGTTCCTGTTACAGTGTGTGAGGAGCACCTCTGGTTTTGTGCATTTTTATTTGGCTTAAAGCAGAGCCTATGGTGAAGTTGGTGTCAGTAATTGTTAAATGAGTGAATATGTGTGGTGGCTTTCAGAAAACTTGAATGATTGGACTCCAGCAAAAGGTAATAGTAAAGATGAAATTTCTCCTCGGCGACAAAATAATTACTAGTTTTATGTGTCCCCCCCCCCTCAATAATGTACATCGTAAACTTACGTATTCCTCACATTGCTTTTAAAACACCTGCGGTATGTAAGGATATAGACAAGTAAATGTCCTCACGTCTCTGGCACTCTTCTCCCCAGTACTACTCCCAAGTAGTAACCACTATTAGCAATATTTTTGGAATTTCTTTTTTCTTTTCTTTTTTTTTTTTTTTTTTTGGTTTTCGAGGCAGGGTTTCTCTGTAGCTTTGCGCCTTTCCTGGGACTCACTTGGTAGCCCAGGCTGGCCTCGAACTCGCAGAGATCCGCCTGCCTCTGCCTCCCGAGTGCTGGGATTAAAGGCGTGCGCCACCACCGCCCGGCTCTTTTCTTTTTTTTCAAGACAGGGTTTCTCTGTGTAGGTTTGCGCCTTTCCTGGAACCCACTCTGGAACCCACTCTGGAACCCACTCTGTAGTCCAGGCTGGCCTCGAACTCACAGAGATCCGCCTGCCTCTGCCTCCCGAGTGCTGCGATTTAAGGCATGCGACACCACCACCCCGGCTGAACAAACAGCTTAAGAATTAGTGTAACGAGGGCTGTCAGGATGGCTTGGTGAATAAAAGTCTTATCAGGAAAGCCTGGTGATTTCAGTTTGATCCCTGAAACCCAGGTAGACGTGGAAGGTGAGAACAAACTCCAAAAAGTTGTCCTCTGACTACCGTACATACATTGTGGCACGAATGCCCACCCACCCACCCACCCACACATGCAATAGTAATGATAATACATGTAATTAATAATTAATTAGATAATTAATGCAATCATTTGGATAAGATATTGTGAGGGCCATCACAATCATGTTAGCCATAGAAAGAAGGAAACCGATTTGCATATGTTAAGAACTTGTTATAGCATCTTGTGTTAGCTTCAAGTTAAGTGCCTTGTGTCTGGACTACATTTCCAGCCTGTGGTGTTAGTTTTGTGTTTTTAAATATGTGTGCTCAGATGTGTACATGGACGTGGAGGCCTTAGGTGTTATCCCCATAAACACCACCCATTTCCTTTGAGAGGGGTCTCTTATTTGCCTGGAGCTCACAAATTTGGTTGAGATATGAGTCCTAGGGAGCCTCCTGTTTCCACCTCCCAGGGCTGAAATTAGAAGCACGTGCTACAACTAGCATCATTTTTATGTGGTTCTGGGGATCAAACTTGGATCTTGGGCTTGCAAAGTAAATGCTCTACCTATCGGACTAACTCCATAGCTCTGGTGTTAGGTTGTTAGATCATTAGCTCAATGTAATCTTTAAAACGATTTTAGTATGTTTTTGTTTGTCTGTTTGAGTTTTTCTGTGCAACAGCTCTGGAACTCGCTTTGTCAACCATGCTGGCCTGGGACTCACAGAGATCTACTTGCCTCTGCCTCCCCAGTGCTGGGATTCAAGGTGTGCACCACCATCACCTGGCTCTAGTATGTGTTTTTAACCTTATGCGTTAGCTTTCATCACAGTAACAAGAAACTTTAGATTAGTAGTTCTCAACCTGTGGGTCTCTAACCCTTTGACAAACCTCTTTCTCCAAAAATATTTGCATTATGATTCATAACAGTAGCAAAATTACAGTAGCAATGAAAATAATTTTATGGTTGGGGGGTCACCACAACTTGAGCTGTATTAAAGGGTGGCTGCCCTAGGAAGGTTGAGAGCCACTGGTTTAGATAATGAACTTCTGTGAAAAGAAAAGGCTCATTTTGGTTCATGGTTTGGAGGCTCTAGCCCATGACTGGATGGTCCATTGCCTTGGGCCTATGGCAAGGCTGGATGCTATGTTGGAATTGCATGACAGAGCAAAACTACTCACCTCATGGCCAGGAATGAAAGAGAAGAGAAAGAAACCAGAGCCCCAGAGTCTCCTTCAGGAGTGCACCTCCGCTGACCTAACAACCTGGTAGGTGCTTCTTAAATGCTGGTTAAGGTTTATGGTCAACTTGACAGGATTTAGTGTGACCCAAGAGCCGTGCCTTTGGGTGTATTTGTGAGGAGGTTTCCAGAGAAGTTGAACTGAGGAAAGATCACCCTGAATGTGGGTGGCGTCATCCCCTGGAGGGTGGGGGTGGGGGAGGCAGACAGAATAAAAGTGAAAAAAGAGAAAGTGAGCTGGGCGCCAGCATTCATCCCTGACTGTGGAAGGCTTGCGACCCGTTGGTTCACACTCCTGCTGCCACAGCTTGAGCCGTTTTTGCCAGCACTCTTTCTCCTAAATGGTGGAACGTGCCCTCAAAACACGAGCCAAAATAAGTGGTACTTTGTCGCAGTAATGGAAAAGTACAACCACTGAATAACATGGCTGCTGTGAAGAATAAGTAAGAATGTGTGGCCAGTGCTTAAAAGGATGGGTGGATTGCCAGGTGGAGTGGCACAAGCCTTTAATCGCAGCACTTAGGAGGCAGAGGTAGGATGATCTCAGTGTGTCTGAGGCCAGCCTGGTCTACAGAGTGAGATTCTGTGTCAAAAGTAAAATAAAATAAACAAATAATTCCTGTCCAAAAAAAAAAAAAAAAAAAAAAGAAGTACAACCACTTTCCAGTACTGCCAACATGGGGACCAAGCCTCTAACACATGGGGTTTCAGAAGACACTTAAGATCCAAGCTATTGTGTCTTGCTTTAAAAATGAGGAAGAAGATGCACGGAGATCTGAGTAAACTCTTATTTCCAAATGATTGTGATTCCAGACTCACAATCATGTCAGCCAAGCAGGCTATAGCTGAGGAAATGGTAGGATGTGATGGTGGACTGTACGAGCAGAAAGGAGGCAGAGTGGACCCTAGTGGTGAAGAGAATGGCAGCCCCAGTGACTCATGGGAATTTGAGTTCAAGGACAAGAGGATGATGCAATTTTGCTTTTGTTAAATTAAAAAAAAAATTATTTATTTGGATGTGTATGGGTGTTTGATTGCTTCTATGTCTGTGTGCCATGTGTGTGCAGTGCCTACCGAGGCCAGAAAAGGGTGTCAGATCCCCTGGGACTGGCGTTACAGGTGGTTGTGAGCCACCACATGGGTGCTGGAAATTGAATCCAGGTCCACTGGAAGAGCAGCCAGTGCTCTTAACTGCTGAGCAACCTTCCCAGGTCCTTTTTATTAAATTTTAGATTTAATGTTTGGCTACTTTTGTCCAGTGAGCCATCAGAATTGTAAAATTGAGTTCCAAGAGAAAAGTTGGGACCACAGAAAGGCTACTGGACAAATGCTGATTAGGATCTCTGGCTAAGGGCTAATATAATAGCAGCAGCCTGGGATTGGCACCACAGTGTATGCAGACATTTTACCATAGCCAGCCTTGGAAAACATAGCACCTATAATATAAGAAGATAGTTATATAATAAAAGATAAATAGCACTATTGCAGCTTTCAGTTAAATCACAGTAAAGTATGTACACCAAGCTAAGTATGATAAGCACAATTCATTTATTTCAAAGCAGAAAAATAATCTTAAAAATTCAAAAATCCTATCTTGTCAGTGTAGTGATCCCCTCTACCTCTGGTCTGAACTACCCAGCAAGGGCTAGGTTTTACAGCAAGACAGACAACTGGCAATCTTATGAAAATTAAAATCAAACAGAGTGAGTAAACAAAGTCAATGAACTCAAGGAAAGAAACTGACTCTTAACCACTGAGCCATCTCTCCAGCCCTGAGAAACTGTCTCATATTTGTGGAAACATTAAGGAGGCAGTTGGATACACAAGTCTGAAGTTCAGAGACGAGGTTGGGGCTTGAGTGTCACTGGCATAAGAAAGTA